CTCGACAGGAGGACGTTAACAAGGCAATTCTTTCGACACTTGAATCATCCAGCTCAAGATCCAAAAATATGTCGGCAGGCATTTCCATGTCTAGCAACTGCAGTCTCATGTTTGATAGTGTTTATTTTAACCAGGAAAGAGACCTTATCTACTACATACGGAAACTTCCAAAAACTGTACATTTAATGGTATTTGTTTTACTGTAAAATGAGGACTTTTCTCCACGACACTATGTTTTTTTGTTTGTTGTAAAAGTCAAAAGTCAGTCTATCTATGCCAACAGCTGGTTAGCACACACACACACAGAAAGTGTGGTTAAACAGGGTAATCACTAATGTCAACACCTGCTGGTCATTACGGGCAGGTTGCCAGTTTCCCTCAAATCTCTCATCTCTGACTTTTATTGTTGATCTCAGTTTATTGGAGTTTCCTGGTTGCTTAGTAAAACAAGTGGTCGCCTAGGTACAAGGCCTAAATGCTACATCCCTTTCCTCAACACTGTCACCCCTTTCCTTGATCTACACACTCCTTTCTTCCGATCCTCAAGAACATGCTTGGGATGACCAGCAGTGACTCCCTGCACTTGAGAGGATTGTCATTAGATATATTTCATCGTATATTTCAAGCCCCCCAACTGACCTATCAGTGAGCTGTGTAATAAATGTTATGACTGTATGCCGTATCTCTTAAATGTGCTAGCAGCCTCTCTCACCAGCCATTTTGGCTACTAAATTTTAAAGTTACCGGCCATTCAGAACTTCTACCAGCCAAAAATAAATAAAAATTGAAATAAACCAGATTAACTATGTCATGTAATGTAATGCAATTTGGATTTCATACATTCAATTTATTCAAACTAAATCTTGTCATCCAGCATCTTATCCTCGTCATCAAAAATATTTTAGGTGGACAGATGTAAAAAAGTAGGATGCTGGGAAATATTTGTATTTTATATTTGTGTCATTATTTGTAGCGCAGTGATGTGTGTGTTCATGTAAGCCAAATATAAACGGATTCTGCAGAATATTTAATATATCACGATGACTCAATCTGCACAGATTTATCTTACACGATCTTCCCCAGGAAATTGCGTAGACATAAGAAGTAACGCCACACTGGCTCTTGATTTGACAGCGTTAGACGTCACAGCTGAGTTTATCCCGCATTTGGCGAGTTGGCATGTGTTCATTTTAAATCTAACGTATATGGGCTTATCTGTGCCGGATCTCTGACTAACTCTTACAGGAATTGTTTTCACTGTAATCCCTGTTTACAGGGAGAAAAGAAAGGCAAGGCTACATGGCATCATGACTTTGTGTAAACATACACGCCACTTTCAAGTCAAGTGGCGTGTTATCTATACGCCTTTTGAGCTATCCGCGTGTATGTCCACGCCGTTAAATGTCTGAGCGAAACGAAGCAAAATGGAGATCTACATTTGGGGAGCGATATTTTTTTTCCTAGGATGGTAGGGGAAGACTCTTGAATGGTATTAACCCCAGTGACGGGTAGGTTTAGGGATGGGGTTGGGGTAGGTCATGTAATAACGTTAAGTCAACTGCGGTCATAAACACGCTGAAAAGCGATTATGCGTGTTGATAGCACGCCAAAAATGCAAATACCAATTGGCATGTCTTACATATGCCAGAAGAGATCGGTCAGCAGGAGGAATGCTAATGATGTAACACAATACATTAATAATAGGCTTCATACAGTTATGCCGGGAGAGATTTCATCATAAAATACAGCGTTGTGCAATCCTGGAGTGATTTCCAGACAGATTCACTCCCTTTTCTGCACAAGCAGAACTCACGGTGTGTGCTCTGATTGGCTGTCAGGACACATGACATCAGGTTTAGAAAAAATCTGCCAGTACTTAAGCACTGTCTCATGCTGATGATCGAGTTAAAAATAGCAGTGGAGTGTGGAATATTTTCCACCAACGCACCACTAACCTGTCTCAACTCGCAAACTGAATTCCCCAAATCTGCAACATCTGCATTCAATCTCCATTCAAACAGTGTCTGCTTAGGACATGATCTTTAATTGTACCAATTGTCATTTCATTTCGTCATCGTTTTCCTTTATTAACACTTGTCCCAATCTGTGATGACTGGCAGAGAAACAGGAACTAAAGTCTTAAACGCTTTTTAGTGTGTTTTTGTGAAACTGCAACTTCCACATTTAGGAACGAAGCACTATGAAAACCCAAAGCTTGCATGACGTAAGTGCTCGGCAGTGTGTCCGTGACCTTTAGGTGAAACACAGACTTTCCCTGACTGACCGAAACACATCTGAGACACAGGACAACCTGTCGGCCTTTACTCTTCCTGAAACTCGAGTACATTTCATGTAATGCTTGAAAATTAGCTGTCATTGGAAATTATTCAGAAACTCTTTGCTGAATATTTTTCAGACAAACTATTTCACTCAGAAATTGCAGGTACACTTCACAATTATGAAGAAACTAACACTTTGTCATGTCATGTCATGTCATGTTTATTTATAAAGCACATTTAAAAACAGCTTCCGCTGACCAAAGTGCTGTACATATAAAATCAGTTAATCAAAAACAATCTCAAAATAATAAAATACAATGGATCATTACGTAATAGAAAATAAAACATAGTAGAACGGCCAAAGTAACCTGCTTAAACAGTGTTGAACGCTATGGAAAACAGGTGTGTTTTTAGACTGCTTTTAAATTGCTCAACAGATTCTGCGGATCTAACGGAGATAGGTAGGCTATTCCAGAGCCTTTGAAGTTGGATAACTGAAACAAAATGTACTGTTTTGTTTTTTTACAGTGTAAGTGTAGTCTTACCTACTTCTAAGAGAAACATGTGAACTACAATTCGCAGTCACTGGTGGATGCCTGTTTTGTTTTTAGAGCTGGGATTTCCAAAATGTGTCTTGTTTACTTTTCCCCAAAGTATGATCTGATCACGGGTCTGGAGAATAAAACAGAAAAGACCCGTCCACATTCAGGAAGCGCTACAGAGTCGCTTTCAATGGGGAAGCTGGCAGAAATCAAAGAGAGCAAAGCCCTCATGTGATAGATGCGTTACAGAAACACACACACACACTTTCACACGGCTTGGGATCGCTTACAAACACACACACTTAGAGATGCAAAGATAAGATAACGTAACGCGTATTGTCAGTGATGTCACATGGGAAGTAAACACAGGATCTGAGAAAGTGACTCTCGCTGGTGCTACACCTGTGGTGATGACATCACTTACTGTGCATTCAGATGCACAAGTTTACACACAGGTGACATCACCAGGCCCCGCCTCTTCCAGGCACACACGGCTATTTTTAGACAACTGTGTGAAAGGGGAAATTATCTTGAAATCTTTGATGTCTACAAACTTGAGCAACTTCAGTATGCGGCGGAAAATATCTGCACACGTAAAAAACTCACAACTGGAAGTGTGGGAATGTTGTGCTGATCAAACCTGCGTCCTGAACACTTTCTGTTCAAATCCACCCATTTCTTAAAAACTAATACTTGTTTTTGAATAACTACATAAATGGTTCACAAAATGAATAAGCTCTTGGATCATAAGATTTTCAAGTCCATGAGAAACATTAATTTAGCGTCAGATTACAAACTCTCGACTATTAGCGAATAAGCACTCGTTGCATCAAAAGCTTTGAACAAAGATAACAGACGTTCAGATATTAACGCTAAAGAAACTGGAAGTCCAAAGTTCATCTATTCCCTCTCATGTGTGCAGTGAAGTCGAGTTGATATTTGGGCGTGATGTGTTAGCACGCTAGCGTACGCACTGACACAAGACATGCTTTTAGATTGACTTAACTGTAAAGTGTTAACAGATTGACTAGCATTTCTATGTATGTTTCAAAGCAACACGATTTGTTTCGTTTGGAGTTTCGTTGAGGGTTTGTTGGACCCAGTATAGACCCTATTATTGTTCACAGGCCTGATGAGAAATGGCCTAGTGGATAGTCATGCTGTGCTCTGTTTGGCGTAAACTCTACATGTAATGGCTGCTCTGCCGTCGATGCCTGAGATGGCCAATCAAATCAAAGAAGGCGGGGCTTTAATCTTCACGGGAGATGGGAGGGAATTTCAGTGCGACAAAATGCACATGGAATATCGAAGAATTAATTGTTAATGATTTATCAGTGCACATTAATATTTTGTTCAATTAATGTTCCTTACAATCTTGAATCAAAATGACCTCCCCTCCTATTTGCAGCTTCTCTTTTCTTAAGATGTGGGCGGGGCTTTAACCTGTCACTCACATGAGATCAGCCAATAGCAAACCACAACCATCCAGTCAATTCCCCACAGGCAAAATCAAGTATATGCAGTATATTACATATTATATTTTTACTATTATATCATTAAAATTGTATAAATATAGCATCATTTTTAAAACTGCACTACATTAATAAAAATGAGTTGTCAATTTGAACATTTAATAATAACAATACGAGCTGACAGGTTGTTTACAGAATTTGTTTTGTGTAAATGAATAATTAGAAAAATGAACATAATTTAAAAAAAAAATATTATGTAGGCCCTATTGTCCATAATACTCTCTCAAACGTTGGCAGTCCTTGACTATCGAAGAAAGTCCGAGGTAGGCTAAGGTATACGCAGCTTTATTTATTACGTAACATTATAAACTGTTTCATGATACAAATATTAAACGAAATTTTAGTATAACATAGTTTACTTGATTGAATGTTTTGGCATTTTCTTCGCTATTGTGAGGTGGTATATCCGAGTGAAACGCCCTCTGAACCAGAACAGGTGTAGGGCGGGAAATAGTGACGTGTGCACTGATACATGACTTATAACAAACACTGCACTATTCCTTTAAATACAATTGTGACTTTAATAAAACATTTTATTTACTTTAAATAAAAAATATTAGGCAATTTGAAAAATAGTAGCCTACAAATTGATTCCTAGCACAGTGCCTGAATGGGGCAGTCGTGGAAACAACAGCAGAAAAACTGCTTACATTTACACAACGCGTGTGATATAGTGTGAACGCTAATGAAGGGATAGATAGGCCTACACAGGAGGATGATATTCCATGAAATAAGCTAGCGGAATATGGAGCCAGTCACAGAAATTCACACTTCATATTCCTCCCGCTTTCCACCTGTTTGCGCATAGCGAAAGGAGCGGAAAGTTGGTCGGGTTTTCTCTGAACGTCCTGAAGCTAGTCTCTCTCTCTCTCTGTCTCTCTCTCTCTCTCTCTCTCTCTCTCTCTCGCTCGTGGGTGGAGGGAAACCCGCTGGTTCCTCCTCCAGCACTCGAGTATAAAGCTCATGCTATGATGATGGGCTGTACATAACATTATTCACTTGCACCTGCTTTGGATTACAGTGTTCTTCTCACACCGCTAGTTTCTGGAGATGTCCGCGTCCACAGATGTCGAGAGCCAGTCCCGGTCCCGGGGCCGGCGTCTGGACGCCTTCCTCATCGGGTCCGTGATCGCACTCTTCCTCATGTTCGCGGGCGCGCTCGCGGGCGCGCTCTGGTTCGCCAAACACATCGAGAACGAGCTCAACGAGAGGAAAACACGAGAGTCCGAGTCGGAAGCATCGACGGGCCCGCGGAACATGCATCTCTCCGACACCGGAGACGCGTATAAGGTGAGGATTTACCTTGCAAAAATGACGTTAAGTGTTTTTCGAGCATGTTTTAAGGTTACAAAACTAAAAAATGACATTACCGGCATGTTTACCATTATATTATTTGAAGAAGATTCGCTTTACAACACTTTACAATAAGGTTCGTTAATGTGTATTAACACTTTACAATATATTACAATAAGGTTCGTTAATGGATTGACCATGAGCAATACATTTCATCTTTGATCATGTTAGTTCATTAAAAAATACTGCTGTTCATTGATTGATTATGTTAGTTCACTGGGCATTAACTAATGTTAACAAACACAACCTTTGATTTTAATGACGTGGGCTATTAATATGTTGAAATTAATATGAACTACGATTTATAAATGTTGAAGAAGTATTGTTCACTAAGGTAGTTAACTACTGAACCTTATTGTAAAGTGTTACCGTATAATCTTATTTATCATGTCATTGTATGTTTTTATATTTTTGGAAAATGTACCAATAAGCATGATTGTTTGGACCTAATGCATGTTTTTTAAAGTACATTGGCCCATCTGATTAAAATAGGCCTAGTCAAGTCACCTTAAGTAACAGAGATTGTTTTGACTTTACAGCAGCTTTAGAATAATGTTATTGTCCAGATAAAGTTAGTTTTGATTGATTCACTTCCGTTGCAAAGATCATTAGTTATTAACTTAATAATAATTCAATATTATGATAATTAAACATAACTTTTTGTGCAGCTCAGTTAAAAGCTTTGGTTTTAGAATCACACTGTTAGATGAAATTTTCTGTAAATAAATTAGCATCATGCTTTCGAAAGTGGTGGATGGTTGAAATAAGAAGGTAAAAGATGGTTTAGATAAACCAGGACACTGATCTGAAGAACCTGATATGGTAAATGGTAAATGGACTGCATTTATATAGCGCCTTCATAGACCTAATGGCCACCAAAGCGCTTTTACATATTGCCTCACATTCACCCATTCACACACACATTCACACACCGATGGCGGTGTCAGCCATGCAAGGCGCCATCCAGCTCATCGGCAGCAGCTGGGGTTAGGTGTCTTGCTCATGGACACCTCAACACTTGGTCAGGTGGAACCGAGGATTGAACCACCAACCTTTCGGTTCGTAGACAACCCACATGAACCACTGACCGGATTCATGTGTGGTTAGAAGAAGAGCTTCAGAGAAGTCACAGCGTACAGCCCTCAGCCATTGCCCTAGATTAGCCTGAGCGACAGGCCAGCCGTTGCCATAGATTAGCCTGAGCGACGGGCCAGCCGTTGCCATAAATTAGCCTGAGCGACGGGCCAGCAGTTGCCATAGATTAGCCTGAGCGACGGGCCAGCCGTTGCCATAGATTAGCCTGAGCGACGGGCCAGCCATTGCCATAGATTAGCCTGAGCGACGGGCCAGCCGTTGCCATAGATTAGCCTGAGCGACGGGCCAGCCATTGCCATAGATTAGCCTGAGCGACGGGCCAGCCGTTGCCATAGATTAGCCTGAGCGACGGGCCAGCCGTTGCCATAGATTAGCCTGAGCGACGGGCCAGCCGTTGCCATAGATTAGCCTGAGCGACGGGCCAGCCATTGCCATAGATTAGCCTGAGCGACGGGCCAGCCGTTGCCATAGATTAGCCTGAGCGACGGGCCAGCCGTTGCCATAGATTAGCCTGAGCGACGGGCCAGCCGTTGCCATAGATTAGCCTGAGCGACGGGCCAGCCGTTGCCATAGATCAGCCTGAGCGACGGGCCAGCCGTTGCCATAGATTAGCCTGAGCGACGGGCTCATTCAGCACATGCTTTCTTCTCGTCTCTGCAGGTGTGCAAAAGTTGTTGAACCTTTTTTCTGTCTTCTTTCTTCTTAGATGCAGAATTTTGCATACCTGAGGGCCATTAAAAGTAAGTTCTCATCATTGTATATTTCAGACACTACTCAAAAAACTCAGAATGGATAGACCACTTGTATTTAAACTAGAATATTCCTTTAAACAAAGGTATTTTCTTAATTTAATATGTAAGATTTGATATATCTTCACTTGCTGTTTGAATGATTTTACTTTCATGCGTTCCACCTACTTTGCAGCTTGTGTTTTATTGTTTGAAATTCGTGTGTTTTTCTTGTACAGCACTTTGGTTCATTTTGGTTGTTTTTAAACTGCACTTTATAAATGAACTGTATTGTATTGTATTGTAAACGTCTCTTTGTCTTTGCCCTCCAGGTGAACTGAAAAGTGAAAATATGGCGTGGGAAGGTTTCGCTTATGGAAACACTCACACCATCGGCTCTCTCTACAGCTACGACAAAAGTCAGAAAGCGCTGGATGTGAAGAATAGTGGAAGCTACTTTGTGTACGTCCAACTCAGTCTATTCTGCAACGGAATCTGTTCGCCTGGCAAATTCACCGTCAGCTTTTACAACCACCTGAACAGCAAGGAGCTGTCCTGTACCGTCTCACTGCCGGAAGGGACTAAGCCTGAGCCGATCAGCAAGACCTGTTGGCATGTTGTCACTTTCCCGGAAAACGGGAACCGGCTGATGGCTAAATCCGAGGTCCAGGACTCGCTGGGCGACTGGAGTCTGCTGGTCAACGACTCTGGCTTTGGGATGTTCCTCGTGGACGGAGTACGAGCGGAACAAAGGACGTGATTGAACTGATTTCGGACCGTCTTCGATGCACTCAGGACTGTTTTCGTATTCGGCCCATTTTTGACTGCACCAATGTCCGCAAGCTATCTTGGCTTATTTGGCGATGCCTTCGGCTATCATAAAGACTGGCATTTCAGCATCTTAGCCTCAATATTCTTATGCATTCTGCCAAATTTGACAGTTTTTTCTCTACAACAAAAGCTCATAATATGCAAAGACATTTGAACCGAGTCGGTCTTGGGCCTGAAGAACGGATAAACAATGCTCCTAAAGCACTATTTATAACTGAAATATATTTATATGCGTTTAACATTTTAAAGACTTGTTATATTTATGTAATTTTTTATATTGTACATAATGTGTGTGTGAAACACTAATTGTGTGCGGCGTCAGACCTGATGAAGGTGATATGACTGTACTGTATTAGCCTCGCGGTGTTTAGGTTTATCGCAGAAATAACGTAAACTTATCACGTATTACGTAACGTAAACTTACCAACGCATCAACACTTATTTAGTGGACAAAGTCCCTTGGTTAGGTCTGTATTATCACTGTACGTTTAAAAACTCAAAAAGCTGCATGTGTGAATGAGCATCTCTTCACACACACACACACTTGTGTTGTGTGTTTGTTGTGAAGCAGAGCCGTGTCTGAATGCTAACAAACTCAGGAACTCTAGAGATGAATGTAACTATGATGACGATGTGTGAAATGCTTTATTTTGTATAATATATTTAATAAAATGTTCATTTTATGTAACTGTGGGGTGTTTGATGAAAAAGCATTATGTACCAAGCTAACAAAAATGTATTTATAATTTTACAAAAATTTCAGAAAAAGAAAAAAAAAATGCTCCATGATTGACGTACATATCTTTTTTTTGTTTTGTTTTAATGTTTCGAGAACATTAAAGGCCAGATATGAACGAACCTTCTACTAATGTTACTGGAAGAACGTTTGTTCATAACTTATAACTGTGGCAAAACCATGTCACAATTTTAGCAAAAGGTCTGAGAACAATACTTGTTTCAATTCTCTCAGATGTTTCTGCTAAAATAAAGCATTAAATTGAGCCAATAGGGGTCATAAAATATATAGTCACTTAACGAGAGTGAGTGGAAAGCAGTCTAACACTCCTGGAAGAGATTCAGAGAAACTTCTGGGGCTGTTTGCATGTGCACGATGTGATTCCTCATATTAATGCCTGATTGGTCTTCATTTTTGCCTTTAGTTAGTAGCCAGTAGGAGTTCTCCAATTAGATAAATGCAAGTAACAATAAAATGGATGTGAGGAGTTCTGTGACATTTGGGATTTTGTGCAAAAAACAAAAAGAAAATTTCGGCACAAAGCACTGTTAATTCAAAATAAAGGTTATCTTATGGCATTTATGGTTCCATAAGAACTTGAACATTTCCAAAAAAGGATTTCTTCACACTAAGAAAAATGGTTCTTTTAAGAAAGATTGCTTGCTACAATGAAGCCGCTAAGTCACTCCCCTTCTGAAAGAAGTACATTGGCTGCCAGTTAATTATAGAATTGAGTTTAAATCAAACGCTGAGTTATCTGTCTGATTCATAGACGCATTATAATCCCTCACGAAGCCTAAGATCTGAAGATCAAAACTTACTACAAATTCAAGAACTTGCTTAAAGTAGTCCCACTTTATGCAACAGCCTTGCAAATCTAACCTTAAAACATATCTCTTTATCTTTATCTTATGGTCTTTGTGGTCAGCCTTGTCGCTGTCATTAAATGTGCGTTAGAAATAAACCAAACTGAAGACCTGCTGACTAAAACGTTCTTTGGGGAACCAATGGTTCTTCTATGGCAAAAGCTCCTCTTGAAACCTTTGATTTATTTAAGAGTGTAAGGAGCACTTGAGTCTCCATCTAAAAGTGTGTTCCTGTCTGGGAGAATCAGCTGAGATGGTAAAGTGAGTGTCTTTCTTTCCTCTGGTGAGGTCTCTTTATCAGACCCTGTGGGAGGAAAGTTCTGCCAGATCCAGGCCATCTCTCGCCCACGTCACTTACTGTCATAGGCGCTCGAGAGTTTCAGAGCTCACCGCACACATCCGGCACAACACCCAACAAACAAACCAACATCAACGTCTCGCTGTAGAAGACAAAACAGGAAGGATTCAGAATGACAGACACAGCCCAGAAAGCAAATTTGCATTCAAAAGACGTCTAATAGCGTCCAAACAGCCCTGATGTCTGGGCTAAAACAAGACAAAATTTGGGCTGTCAGTGAATAATAGAGATCTAAACCAACGCCCAAGAATAGACTAGTCCTCAATTAGAGAGCATGTCAGAAATGAAACCAAACACCTTGAATCACTGTTTACTTTGCTTACATGATGGAATATTATTCATCTTGCAAGTTATTTTGGTAAAATTGACAAGAAACCCAATTCAAGGCTATTTTGGCAAAGAGGTGTGTTACTCATAGCCGGACTTTATCTTGACGCTGACATAACGGCTATTGCTTACTGGGAAAGAGCTTCTTTCTAAATGAAGTTTGATGGACAAACTTGACTAAGATCTCGCAGAGAAATTAATGCATTGCATCTCTCCAACGGATGTTTCAAACTCTGGGCATGGTCTGAAGATCATCCGGAAACAACATGAGTAAGTGCGAGATTCACTTTACAGCGTCTGACTGGAACCGAGCGGAAGTGTGAGAGTTCATGAAACTGAGTCTGCAGGAGAAACTTCAACTGAAGACATCTCAACATGAGTCAAACCAAGACTTTCTCAGTACTCTGGCCTCATTCTGAATCACACACGTTCTTCCAAACACCAGTCTTGCTCCACCTCTGAAACGTGTGTCTGACACCATTAATCCCTCTTGATTTTCCTGTTTCACTTGAAAAAAGTCACATTGTGGAAGTAGAGTGAGTAATTTTGCCATTTCTCGTCAGTTTTAACAAGAGATTCAGACGTACATTCACTTTTGGAGCTTTCTGCTTGTCCATGATGTGTTTCAAAGCTGATTGGTCATCACTTTTGCCTTTAGTTTGTGATTAGTTGTGAATGTCAACACCTGTAAGCAAAGCCCCTTTCATGGAAAGTCATTTCGATCGGCGGCCATATTTGTAAGGTCTACAGGCAACTAATGTCCTCAAATCCCCAAATCTCAAAAACTACCTTGCAAACTGTCCCTTAAATGTTGTTTCCTATATGCTGAAACAGTGTATAAAAGCGTGTAATACAGTGCTATATTACTGTAGTTTTTAGGTGTGAGTGTGTTTTTGTAGGCCAAACCCCTGAAACGAGTTGCAGTTTTGGCTCCATCGTCTCAAAGTCAATGGGTTTATTTGAATGGGGTTTTGGTTGAATGTCTGAATTAAGGTCTGTGGTGAACACAGGGGCCAGATAGTTTCAGGTTTTATCCTATGACATCAGCAAAAACCCATGTGAATTTTTAAAAGCGTTGACGTGTCTTGGAATGGGTTTAAATGGGACGCTCGGGGTTGACATTGTCATGTACTCAATATTCGCTTCATAATGCTCTTGCAAACTCTTTTAACTCAAACTTGTTTTAAAATAAAGACTGAATGCATTGTTGAAGCTTAATGATGGTAACGGTGAAGCCCTGGTGTATTTCATCTATAGATTAGCGTTTAGATTTGTACGTCTGGTGATTAAATTTAGGGTTAGGGTTAGGGTTTGTTTTTGTTGAACCGTAATGATCCAAAACCAATGGAAAAATCCTATTGGGTTTTTGTCGAGGGACGAATGCGAACACGTGATTGGCCATTGCGGTCAAGAAATCACCAAACAGAAGTCATTCAGTGAACTTTGATTCATGCATGATTGAACCAATGGCATTCTCTGACATGATGCATGATCTGTGTCTGTGACTTCTCCCGTTCGCTTGACTCTCGTTGGCCGTTTTCTCTTTTCTCTGGAATTAATTACAGCGCAGGAGAAGACCAGTGAATGACTAAAGAGATTGAGAAAGAGTGGGACTGGATCTCCAACCGCAACGGACAGTCTTCCTGTTCCAAGAGGCTTGCCAAGTTGATTCCCATCAGACCGAACACTTTCAGCAGGGATTCATGCCATTTCGATGTAAGCATGTGACTCGATGACTGGTTTACATGCACACTAATGATGCAACTATGCTCATGTATGCACTTTTGATGCTCTTCACTTTGTTTAAACACTTCATATTGATCATTGCATCATGTTAAACTGAGTTGAAACATGTAAACATTGAGTTAAGCCAAAAGAGTGAATGTTTCAAATCAAGTCACTCCGAAATTCATATAATCTAGGAGCGTACATCTATGCCTGACAGAAATATGAACTCAATCCATGCTTTCTAATGTCTTTTTTAAATAATGTTAGGGAGGCTCTAGACCCTTCTAGAGCTGAGATATCGAAATTCAAAATTTCGATCCGAAAAAAAAACGACAGTGTTACCCCTTACGTTTTTTTCCGTTTTCGGGCGAAAAATCAAGTTTTTCCAATCTTCTCAAAACTCTGGATTATGATAGAGGGCCGCGAGACTTTGACCTGAGCACAAAAATGGAGGCTCTAGACCCTTCCAGAGCTGAGATATGGAAACTCAAAATTTCGACCCGAAAAAAAACGACAGTGTTACCCCTTACGTTTTTTTTCGTTTTCGTGCGAAAAATCAAGTTTCTCCAATCTTCTCAAAACTCTGGATTATGATAGAGGGCCGCGAGACTTTGACCTGAGCGCAAAAATGGAGGCTCTAGACCCTTCCAGAGCTGAGATATGGAAACTCAAAATTTCGACCCGAAAAAAAAACGACAGTGTTACCCCTTACGTTTTTTTTCGTTTTCGGGCGAAAAATCAAGTTTCTCCAATCTTCTCAAAACTCTGGATTATGATAGAGGGCCGCGAGACTTTGACCTGAGCACAAAAATGGAGGCTCTAGACCCTTCCAGAGCTGAGATATGGAAACTCAAAATTTCGACCCGAAAAAAAAAACGACAGTGTTACCCCTTACGTTTTTTTTCATTTTCGGGCGAAAAATCAAGTTTCTCCAATCTTCTCAAAACTCTGGATTATGATAGAGGGCCGCGAGACTTTGACCTGAGCGCAAAAATGGAGGCTCTAGACCCTTCCAGAGCTGAGATATGGAAACTCAAAATTTCGACCCGAAAAAAAAAACGACAGTGTTACCCTTACGTTTTTTTTCATTTTCGGGCGAAAAATCAAGTTTCTCCAATCTTCTCAAAACTCTGGATTATGATAGAGGGCCGCGAGACTTTGACCTGAGCGCAAAAATGGAGGCTCTAGACCCTTCCAGAGCTGAGATATGGAAACTCAAAATTTCGACCCGAAAAAAAAAACGACAGTGTTACCCCTTACGTTTTTTTTCGTTTTCGGGCGAAAAATCAAGTTTCTCCAATCTTCTCAAAACTCTGGATTATGATAGAGGGCCGCGAGACTTTGACCTGAGCGCAAAAATGGAGGCTCTAGACCCTTCCAGAGCTGAGATATGGAAACTCAAAATTTCGACCCGAAAAAAAAACGACAGTGTTACCCCTTACGTTTTTTTCCGTTTTCGGGCGAAAAATCAAGTTTTTCCAATCTTCTCAAAACTCTGGATTATGATAGAGGGCCGCGAGACTTTGACCTGAGCGCAAAAATGGAGGCTCTAGACCCTTCCAGAGCTGAGATATGGAAACTCAAAATTTCGACCCGAAAAAAAAACGACAGTGTTACCCCTTACGTTTTTTTCGTTTTTGGGCGAAAAATCAAGTTTCTCCAATCTTCTCAAA